CACCCACCCACCCACACACACACACACACACACACACACACACTTTTAGTTTAGGGTCTGTCCCAAATTCCACGTCTTTCTCCTTGTCAACAGAAACTCGAGACTGTCCCAAGCGATCTACCTGGTCCGGGGGTCCCTGCGCCGACCGAGGCCCTCGACCAGATAATTAATTACCTCCAGCACGTGTTCTGTTGTCTCTGTAACAAAAAAGGCGTAATTCAATTAGATCATCAACTGGGCATTGGGTTAGGGAACCTCTGTGAAGCTGCGGCGTGGGGGCAAGCTGGGGCGACTGACCTTTGCTAGGGCCAAGGGCCTCACGTGTAGCCCTTTCTCCATCGCCTTGGGCTTTCAGATGATGTCAAACAACTTTTAGCTTTGGGGGACTCGAAAGCAACTTTCGCTGGACACAATGACAGAAACGAACAAGGCGGCTAAAAAAGAAAAAAAGAAAAAGAATTAACCCCCACCTCTAATGTTTCCAGATTATATTATTATTATGTTTTAAGATGAGTCCAAGCGTCCTAGACCTATGTAAAACTCACGGCGTCACTCTCCTTGAGCTACAGGGGTGAAAGTGAAATTAGAAAAGACTTTGCACTTTTAATGCTGATAGGTTATGGGGGGAGGGTGAAGGAATCAAGAATGCAAACGCTGTATTTCTACAAAACATGAGCTCAACGGGATGGGAGAGGAGTCAAGAAATAACCACTTCTTTTAGAAAAAGAAGTGGCTTGGTCCAAAGAGTAATGGAGACAATTACTTCTACTTAAAGGGGGGGGGGCGGTGCGGCGGAAATAAATTGAAGCTTTCAACAAGGGATAGTAGTTCTTCGAAGTAGTTTATAGCTTTGGAAGAACGGGGGCTGCGTGTGGGGGCAGGAGGAGGAGGCAGACTTGACATCGCGGAGTCTACTTGTAGATTAGCCAACATAAATTAACCTATAAATCTTGTTTATGCATCCCCCGATCTACTCTTTCCAGACTCTATGTGCCTGAGTGATTGATAATATAGGAGTATATATGAATGGTCAGACTCGTTTACCTAGTCGAAAAGGAGTGTCGTCCCCCCGCCCGCCTTGGTAAAGTAGGTAGCAAACGGCTAGAAATAAAGATAGTTTCCCCCCCCCCAAGTAAAACAGCACATGCTTTGATTGTAAAAGGATATCTGCAATCATGCCCCCGCCCCATTGCTTTTAAGACCCCCGAACTGCTTTGTTTAGTCACCGAAGTGTGATGTTCTCTCTCCATTCAGCCACTTAAAGTTAAGCATATTTAAATCCCATTGATTTCAAAGGGGGAACCGGAGCCCTTGCAACCTTCCCCCCATTAAAATAAATGGGACTGTAAAGCGTCTGATGTTGGCCAAATCGTGCCCAAAGTCTGTATGCACATAGGTGTGTATTTATGTATTCATTGTCTATGCCTATCTATGGCTATCCTTTCTAGATCTCTTCCTGTCTATGTTCTTTGGCATGCTTTCCGGGCATGAGATCGAATTGCTACGATTTTAAAATCCAGGGCCCGCGCGTACCTATGCACAATTTTTCATATATATATATATATGTGAAAAATTGTTCGTCTTGTGCTGTTTTGGACTGGGGAGGAAGGCGAGAAAAAAAGGGTGGTCAAATATGGTTTACAAACAGTAAAAGCAGCGAGTGTTAAAAATCTGGACTAGAGAGAGAGCGCCCACATACGCCCACATACGCGCGCACACACACACAAATAATGCCAAGAGCATATCCAAGCATAAATCTGCATCCCTTCTTTTATTAAATTCCAGGAAATCACCTATTTTTACATTTAGCAGACATTCCTTTCTCTAAGTAGATGTCTCTCATACACGTAGGCACACCTTGAAACGTTATAGTTTACTCAAGAACTTAATAACTTGAATAACCTTCTTCATCGAAACCCGATAGGGTAGTTTAATTCCAAGGTGGAACACATTTAAATAAATTAATTAAAAAACAGTGTCCCCAGAGATCCAACGTGAACCGTTTAGCCACCCTAGTCAATTTCTCCCTCTCCTACGTCCTCCTCCTTGTCAATTTCGCTTGAGGGCCTTCCCAGGTTACAAACCCTGTTGCGGATCTGCCATCCACCGTCTACTTGACGGCTGCT